TTCAGGTTTAGTAAGCGTACTAAACCCTAAAAGGGTTTTTTACTAAACTTTTGAAGCGGTAGCGTGTCATTGCATTTTGCTAAACCCCTTTTGGGTTTAGTAAACGACGCTTTTTTTTTAGAGTGTAGGGTACTCTTCTTTCCATGATCGGTCTGATAATAGATTGTTATTTATGAATTGATTATGGAGGATTGGAAGAAGTTTGTTAACAGATTCTCATCATTGTCCGAGAATCTATAAGAACCTTATTCCATTCTTTTATACTATCTTTTATGACGTAACAAGACTGCTGCAAGATCTTATAATCCTATATTTTTATTCCAAGATCCCTATAAAAATTAAGCATCTATTCTTGAAAAATTCTCAGATAACGTGCAGTTTTAGATTGGATTTTACTCATTTGTAGTATGGTGAAATTATAATGTTAGAGAACATCGTTTTTGCACACGTTCACGTAATTGTATTGCGATTTGGGCAACTAACTCTGCTATAGATCAAGTTCGTGTGTTCCATTCTAGCTTCGTGCAAGGATTGATTTTGTGTTTTGATAAGTTTAAGTTTCAGAATGATATAATGGGAATTTATATTCTTGTTTTCGTTCTGGTTCAAGATTACAGGCTTAAACCAACTCTGCTATATTAAAAGTAGTATGAAAAAGTAGGTGTTTGTATTTCCGTTATAGCGTTTAGATAAAGAATTTATAGGCTGTGGCAAAGTCTCAAAACCTTTAGTGCACTTTTCTCTTTAATCTGAGACGTTCAGATCTCTGGGCGTCTCACTCTTCGAAAATTATACGAAACACAAAGTGTAAAGAAACTATTACGGAATTTCACATCGGTAGCAGAGTTAGCTGGCTAAGCCGTATATACGAGAATCAAATTTTATCCTTTTTTAAACTTCTTCTGATCAAGAAACGAGATGCTGAAGAATATTACGAGCTCAACTTTTCCTCCCCAACACTCTAGTCCTACGAGTTTGAACGATCGCGAACTTAAGTGGTGTCACAACAGATGAGCCTCTCGATATATGAGCTCTTGACATTTGAGCCTCTCGACACATGAGCCTTCAACATTTGAGCCTTACGAAAAGAACAGTATCAGAAGTTATTCTAATTATAAAATTCATTAACAAAAAGTAGTAATTAACGGTTGTTGTAGTTGTTCGTCCATTTGTTCATATACAGCACGTTTTGTCAGTTTTGCAAGTCCAGCTTCTAATTACTTTGGGTTTATAGGGTCTACATAGATATATTTTGACCCAGTTAGAAAGCAAAATTTCTGTATGTATTATATGAAGACGCTCCCAGTCATCAACCACTCCTTCTTCAATCACCCTACTTCTGTTCAGATAAGGGATTCTTTCGTCTCATAACGTAGAATATGTTCATTTTTGTTCTAACTTCTAAATAATGTTTCTAAACATTTTGACAAATAGTTTCTATATCAACACCAAAAATCACTAACTTCATTTATTAAACTAGATTATAGCTTATGTCTGTGTTTTTAATCATATCGAACTACATCATATAATGTTATCATGTTCTTTGAGTAAAACTCATCCCTTGTACGCTTCACCTGTATGAGACTTAATTGTCAAAGGCTCACGTATCGAGAGGCTCTTGTATCGGGGGCTCAAATGTCAAGAGCTCATCTCTCGGTGTACTAACTTAAGTATTTGAAAAGATAAGAAAACGTCTACTTTATAAAATACTAGTATTTTTTTTTTTGAACTGACCATTTATTGTTAAGCCAGTAGGCTGTTGCAAAAAAAAAAGATAATAACGAGAAAGGCGGTAAAATACATAACAAACCTAATCGAAAGAAAGAAACGACGACAACACATATATTTAACTCTTTCAATTAAAAAGTAGTAATAGATAAACAGATTCTTACTTTCGCATTTTACTCTGTTACATCATCCACAAAGGATATCCATGATATTAGCACTGACTCATGTTTATTTAAGAGCTTCTTGACTCTTTTCAACGAAAAGAAGTGACCTAGATTCTGATCTTTAGTTGGTTTAAAATTATCCCAGTAAAAAACTTCATCGAAAATTGGAGAGGTACAGAGGTCAGAGTCGTAACAACGTTCAAGCCTTTTTTTAAGATACTTTGCTACGTAAAATTTCAATTCATCTTCTCTACATAATTCAAACAAGTCGTCAGCTTCCGCAAAAAGGCAACGGTAAACTAGTCTCACACCGACCCGAAATTTATGATTTAGCGACGCTAGATGAGTTTTAGGTAAAATGGGCAAATTGGGAAGAGCCAGGAGTATAGTGTTCAAATAATAGTACTTTCTAATACCTTTTTAGCTGTTTTTAATGGTGTGAGATAGCCTAGAATTTCATAGTTTAAAGGCTTATCGTATACATCACTGAAACAAATACATCATGAAGGGATGCTTTATTTTTTTGAAATCACTTCTGAAAATAATCTATTACTAATCGAAATAAACAGTATTGTTTTTGTATTTGAAATAAAAGCCCGTTTACATTCCATTTCCATCGTCATCTTCTATAATCCAAATAAAATCTGCAAAAGAAATATGTCTCTCATATTTAAATAGTTTACTAAGCTAAATGCTCACCTTGATCGTTTGCTGGTCTTTCCATTCTTGGTTCACCCGTCATAAACATTGGGTTTTGTGATATATATAGTCCTCCGGTTTCACTGTTTTTCATTTGTTCATTACTCTAAAATAATCTTAGATATAATTAGATTGTTGTGTGTTAGTAAATTTTGGTTTTGACTCTTCTCAATCTTCTCACACTTCATTATTCTAACAATCTGAACTTCTAGAGTAAAGGTTAGAGCAGTAAACCTTTATTATAGCAATAAGTGTTCTTCGATAAACTTACTCTATTGTCCATAGATACTCCACCAAAATTGGGATGAATTGTTTGCTGCGGTCCACCGTATGTCCTATTTGGAGTAAACATCGATCCACCACCAAACATGAATTGAAATGGATCATGTCCTAAGACTTCTTCTAGATAATTGTCACCACCTGAGTCTGGATTTTTGGCTGCTTTTTTGACTTCATCTTCCACTAGTCTTTCTACCTGTGGCATAATTTGTCGAAGTACGCTGGCAACACACTCTTCTTCATCCTCTCTTGAGAATTTGTTCAGGGGGAAATCAGTTTGTTTTAAAGGGAACGACTTTCCATCACTAGTAGAAGTCGGTGGCTAAAAATAAAGAGAAAATTTTCTGCAATAGATTAAATCACTTTTTTTGAATTGTTTTGAGTAATTTAATAATAAATATGAATCAAGTTCAATTGTAGTTGAAACGTTTGGACAGATAAATTAAAATTTTGAATTATGAAATAAAAAGTATATTAAACATTCTTAAGGTTCATCAGTAGTTGAGTAACAAAAAATCTTTCACCTTTTTGCTAGTATTATTGTTTTCTACAGGGTAATTTTGTTCATTATAAGATGATTGTTTAGGATAAGTAGTGGATTTATTCTGATCATCTTGTGCTGATTTTTGACTTTGCGGTTGTGGCTCTTTAGACGGTTGTGATTGGCGATTATCGGATTCCTTAAAAGAAATAATAAATGTAATACGTAATCCATAAGATGGTATTCGAAACATGTTTTAATAATCATCCTACGCATAAAATGCTATTAGATGTTATATTAATGGTATGATGTTCCCTCTTTTGCATTCAAAGACAGACTGTAACTTAAAAACCAGTCATTGCCAAAAAAAAGAGAAATATCTCCCAGTAAACTGGATGTACTAATATCAGATTATATGTATTTATGAAGGCGACTTTTAAGAACTTAAGAATGTGACAATACTTGTCTGTTTTGATTGTCGACATTTGAAGGATAGTTTTGTGTTCTTTGTTGTTGATAAGATGGTTGTGGGGGATAATTGTTTGTTGTATTAGTTTGCACCGTTCTTTGAGGCTGTGTATAAGTTTTTGTATTTGGTGGATAAACGTGTCGAATTCCCGGTCGTTGATTTTGTTGAAAGAGCGGACGTGTAGGTTCGACTCCTTGATACTGTTTTTGTAGCTGAGGTTCTCGAGAGAGTTCTGTTTGTGTTGATAGTTTTAGAGTGAGAGGTTGCTGTTGTTTAACGTTTTGTTGGAGGATTCGACTCTGATTTTGATAGTTGGTTAACGGACTTCGAGTTTGTTCTTCGATGGGTGGATGTTGTGATGAGAAGGGTTGAGCTCCTTGAGAAGACGAAGCATTTGAAAGTTGTGATTTTCTGTAGTACCTTGATTATAACTACCTGACAGTTTTCGCTCTGAAGAAGAAGAGACAGGTTGTTGCTGAGCATCTGAAGCTTGCTGTTGTTGATTTTCATAATCATTGTGATCTATTAGACGTAAAAAAAGTGAGTTGCTTCTACGCTTTTTTGTCCATAAAGTGACCAGCTCCGCTGTTCATGAAAAGGAAATTCCTTCTGCTACCATTTTTTTTGCACTTGAAATCGACGTATTCCTCGGATCTTCTATTAATCTTCTTATGATTGGTTGAAAACTGAACGGAGAATCTCTACGTTTTGTTACGAGCCTCATTATTGTTGTTTATCGGTTTTCTATAAAACTTCGATTTTCATTATCTTGTGTTACAACCTCTTTCTTAGGTAGGAGGCAGTTCCAGTTTAGTTCTTTTGAACGGGAACTAGTTTGATGTTCTCATTCCTAAGAACGGAAACTGCTGAATGTCCTTTTTAAAACAACGCGAACTGGTTATCAATTCTTTTTAAGAATTCAAAATAAAATAGAACCGTTGAAGCTAGTTACATTGGTTTTATTTAGTCCACTAAAAGCATCATCTACCTTTGGCGTACTAAAAAAAGTCAATGTAACTAGCTTCAAGGGTTTTATTGTATATTGAATTCTTGAAAAGATCTGGTAACCAGTTCGCGTTATTTTGAAAAGAACGTTCAGCAGTTCCCGTTCTTAGAACGAGAACGGCTAACCAGTTTTCAAGAACTTTAGGAACTGGAACTGTCCGAACCCTACTCTTTCGTCTTCAATCTTATCCAATTAAGCTAAAATATTTATCACAGGCATCGTAACACAAGATAATGAAAACAGAAGTTTTATAGAAAACCGATAAACAACAATAATGAATTTTGTAACAAAACGTAGAGATTCTCCGTTCAGTTTTCAACCAATCCTAAAAAGATGAAATCTAAGTCACATTTAATTTTAATTTAACAGCATGTTTACGGAAAGCCAAAAGAGAGGAAACAGATATCCTTAAATTGAAAAATCAGCAAACCTGTTGGCAATTTGTATTGATACTGCAGTGGCTGTTGATAGAGGAATGATTGCCTTTCATTATTTACTGGGTGCTGGTTAGTAAAACTCTGGTTGTTATACAACTGTCCACGTTTTTCAAAATCTATATCATGAAATATTAGTGTTTAGTACTTCAAATATTTAAAATAGTACTTGACAACAATAAATTAAAAAATTGATTCTGACCTGTCATTAGTGCCTCAAATTGTTTCAGTTCTTGCTGATATTTATCTTGCTGATTCGGGTGATCGTGTAAAACTAAGTTGCGCCTCACATTTCCATCGAGAATTTCAACTTCATCGCATTCCCAGTTCAAATCACGTAAAATTTGTTTAATATGATCATCATCATCACCTAATGACAGTTGGAAACCAGGCACGTAGTTTTCTAGACGTGCAAAATGATCTTCTTTACTAGTCGGTTGTTCTCTTCGTTGGTCTCTATGTTTCCTATCTTCATCGCTAACCGATTTCTCTTGTTGATCACCGTTTTTATTCGACGATAAATCTCTATTACCTCTAAGATTTGAAGATTTGTTATCTAAACAAATTTAAGATCAGTTTTCAATAAACTGGACAACCCAGAATGATTATTTTACCATCTTGAACTCGTTTATTCATAACTTGTCGGACAAATCCTGGTAAAATAAACTGACTGTAGTGTTCGTCATCAGACGAAGTTATTAAAGCTTTAATTATTGATAGAACGCGCTCAAAATCCAAAGGTTTCGTGCTATTCTGAAACAAGTTAAAAGCATGAGATAAATATTAGCTTCGTAGTTTCCGTCCACATTGGCAATGCTGTCGATAAACTTCTTTATGCGATTCACTTACCTCTGTAAGAAATCTATATGCCACTATAGCATCTTGTAGATCCAAATTCATTTTATTATAAAGGTTTTGAAACGAGTCTAATGGCACTTCCTCTTTTTCTGTTAAAACAACATAATCAACATCAAATATGGAAATTATTACCTACCAACACTACTTACCATCCAAACCATATAAATCAAATCCTAATTTGATCCAATCTTCAAACATTCCTGGTAATGTATTTGTTTTTACAATGTACTCTGATAAAGCTCCCCATGTATCCCGAACCTGATCTAATGTTAGAATATTTGGATCTCGATCTTTGTTTGGACGAGAATCTTGAATAAATTCCCAGATATGGCGAGTCTGATAACTCAACTTCCTTTCTAAATCTCGATTTCCATCCTGTTTTGCGACTATCATATGCAACTACAGTTTAAGAAACCACTAAGCAAATTTCATTGACGCATAAACATTTATCACACTTACCAACAAATAAGATTCAACATCCGCCCAAGTTATCACTTTTTTATCCTTCACATCTAAACCAAAACAAAACATCATCAACTCATCAATTCACAGAAAGTAGTACAATACCAAGAAATTATCTCTTTCTCCTTTCTCAGAGATTCAAAAATACATTCAACTCGCACAGAAGCGCAACAAAACGCAGATCTTACCCAAATTGACTTCAAAAAAATATTTTGCCTTTAAATCTTGAAACTCCGTTAAATGCTGACGATCATTCACCCCCACAACAAATCCGTCGTATCTGATTTCTGGCGTATTTGATTTCTTCATCTCCTCTATCGGCGACGGTCTTGCCCAAGCTCCTGGGGCTGATGCCACAGATTCTTTGTTGTCCATCTCTGATGTTTCAGTAGCCGCTGGCTCCGTTTTCTCCCCCTCCTCTATCGGCGACGGCCTTGCCCACGCTGCCTGGGCTGATGCCACAGAGTCTTTGTTGTCCACCTCAGACGTTACATTGGCCGCTGGCTCCGTTTTCTCTCTCTCCTCTATCGGCGACGGTCTTGCCCATGCTGCTTGAGCTAATACCACAGCTTCTTTGTTGTCCACTTCAAACGTTTCACTGGCCGTTGCCCCAGGTTTCTTCCACTCCTCTAACGTTGACGGTCTTGTCCATGCAACTTCAGCCGATGGCACCGATTCTTTGTTATCCACTTCTGACTTTTCAGAGGTCATCACTTCCCGCTTCTTGCTCTCCTCTGTCGGCGCCGTTGTGGTCAATGCTGTATCCGCTTTCGGCTCATCCTCAGCAGTTCTAGTAGTCGTAATCATCGCTTCATCCAAAAGCGTATCCGGCTTCTTGCTCTCCTCTGTCGGCGCTGTTGTGGTCGATTCTGTAGCCGCTTTCGGCTCATCCTCAGCAGTTGTAGTAGTCGTTATCACTGTTTGATCCAAAAGGGTATCGGGCTTCTTCCTCTCCTCTACCGGCGACGGTGTTGCCGATGCTGCTTCAGCTGGTAGCCCAGATTCTTTGTTATCCACTTCCGACTTTTCATAGGTCATCAGTTCTGGTTTCTTGCTCTCCTCTGTCGGCGCTGTGGTGGTCAATTCTGTAGCCGCTTTCGGCTCATCCTCAGCAGTTGTAGTAGTCGTTATCACTGTTTGATCCAAAAGCGTATCCGGCTTCTTGCTCTGCTCTATCGGCGCTGTTGTGGTCAATTCTGTAGCCGCTTTCGGCTCATCTTCAGCAGTTGTAGTAGTCGTGATCATTGTTTGATCCAAAAGCGCATCCGGCTTCTTGCTCTCCTCTATCGTGTTCGCTGTTGCCGATGCTGCTTCGGCTGGGAGCACAGATTCTTTGTTATCCACGTCCGACTTTTCTGAGGTCATCACTTCCGGCTTCTTGCTCTCCTCTATCGGCGCTGTTGTGTTCAGTTCTGTATCGGCTTTCGGCACTTCCTCAGCAGTTGTCGTAGTCGTAATCACTGTTTGATCCAAAAGCGTATCGGGCTTCTTGCTCTCCTCTATCGGCGACGCTGTTGCCAATGCTGCTTCAGCTGGGAGCACAGATTCTTTGTTGTCCACTTGAGACTTTTCAGAGGTCATCACTTCTGGTTTCTTGCTCTCCTCTCTCGGCGCTGTTGTTGTCAGTTCTGTATCGGCTTTCGGCTCATCCTCAGCAGTTGTAGTAGTCGTTATCACTGTTTGATCCAACAGCGTATCCGGCTTCTTGCTCTCCTCTATCGGCGACGGTGTTGCCAATGCTGCTTCAGCTGGGGGCGCAGATTCTTTGTTATCCACTTCCGACTTTTCAGAGATCATCACTTCTGGCTTCTTGCTCTCCTCTGTGGGCGCTGTTGTGGTCAGTTCTGTATCGGCTTTCGGCACTTCCTCAGCAGTTGTCGTAGTCGTGATCACTGTTTGGTCCAAAAGCGCATCCGGCTTCCTGCTCTCCTCTGTCGGCGCTGTTGTGGTCAGTTCTGTATCGGGTTTCGGCACGTCCTCAGCAGTGGTAGTAGTGGCAATCACTGTTTGATCCAACAGCGTATCCGGCTTCTTGCTCTCCTCTATCGGCGACGGTGTTGCCAATGCTGCTTCAGCTGGTAGCACAGATTCTTTGTGATCCAATTTCGACTTTTCAGAGGTCATCACTTCTGGTTTCTTCCTCCCCTCCGTCGACACGGTTGTGGTCAATTCTGTTTCAGCTAGCGGGGTAGCCACTTTCTGCTGATCATCAGCAGTTGTCGTAGTCGTAATCAGTGTTTCATCCAAAAGCGTATCCGGCTTCTTGCTCTCGTCTATCGTTGTTGGTGTCGCCGATGATGCTTCAGCTTGTGGTACGGATTCTTTGTTATCCAGTTTTGACGTTTCAGTGGCCGTTGGCTCTGGTTTCTTGCTGTCCTCTGTCGGTGTGGTTGTGGTGAATTCAGTTTCAGGTGACGGGGTAGCAACTTTCCGCTCATCCTCAGCAGTTGTAGTAGTCGTAATCACTGTTTGATCCAAAAGGGTATGTGACTTCTTGCCCCCCTCTGTCGGCGCGGTTGTGTGCTCCGCTTCTGACGTTTTAGTTGTGATTGTGGTTGTCTTGTCCAAGAGGTTATGTGGCTTCTTGTTCTCCTCTATCGGCGCGGCTGCTTGTAGTTGTTCAACGGCTAACGGGGCAGCGGCCCTCCCCTGATCTTCTGCTGTTCTAGTGGCCGTAATTGGTGTCTCATCCGATGGAGTGTCTGGCTTCTTGCTATCTTCTGTTGGCGACGCTGTTGCCAATCGTGCTTCAGTTGAGGGCACAGATTCTGTGTTGTCCAGTTCTAACGTTTTAGTGGCCATTGCCTTTGGCTTCTTGGTCTCTTCTGTGGTCGCGGTGGTGGTCAGTTGTGTTTCAGCTAACGGGGTAGCCGCTCTCTGCTGATCATCAGCGGTTGTAGTGGTAATAGTGACTGTTTCATCCAAGGGAGTGTCTGACCTCTTGTTGCCCTCTGTTTGTGGGGTTGCGGTCAATGATGCGTGAGCTGAGAGGTCATCAGGATTCTGCCGATCTTCTGCAGCTGTCGCAGTCTTAATCGTTGTCTCAGCGAATGAACTCTGGGGTTTCTTGCTCTCATTCGTCGGTGGCGGCGCTGTCGGTTGTGCTTCAGCTGACGGCACATCTGCTTTGTTGGCCACTTCTGACGTTTTAGTGGTGTTACTGTTTGTGTCACCTAATGTAGTGTGTGGTTTCTCCTTTGCGGGCGTGGTCGCCGTCAGTCGTGATTCGGCTGACGGGCCAGAAGCTTTCGGCTCGTCTTGTGCAGTTATAGTGGTTGTAATTGTTGTTTCATAAAATGGTGTGTCTGGTGTGGCCGTGGTTGCGGTGTATGAGGCTTCAGTGATCGGGACAGCATCCTTGATGTCCTGGTCTGACGTTTTAGTGGTTGTAGTCGTGGTGTGATCCAATGAAGTATCGGGTGGTCTGTTCTGCTCTAGCGCCGTCAGTTCTGTTAACGCTGCTTCAGTTAACAGCACTCCTTCTTTCTCCCCCTCGTGTGATGTGTTATTGGTCGTTACCCTTGTCTCATAGAATGGCGTATCTGGTTTCGAGTTTTTCTCTGTCGCCGTTGTTGCTGTGTACGTGGTTTCAGTTATTGGGACAATTTCCTTGAGGTCCTCTTCTGGCTTCTTGGTTGTCGAAATCGTTCTCTCATAAAATGGCGTATCTGGTATCTTGTTTTGCTCTGCCGCGGTGGTTGCTGTATATGGTGATTCAGTTAACGGTACACCTGTTTCCTCCACCTCTTCTGGCGTTTTATTGGTTGTGATGGCGGTCTCATAAAATGAAGTATCGGGTTTTGTGTTTTTCTCTGTCGCCGTTGTTGCTGTGTATGGAGCTTCAGTGATCGGAACAGCTTCCTTTAGGTCGTCTTCTGGCGTTTTAATCGTTGTAATCCTTGTCTCATAAAATGGAGTATCTGGTTTCTTGTTTTTCTCTGCCGCGGTGGTCGCCGTGTATGGTAATTTACTGATTGGAACAGCTTCCTTTAGGTCGTCTTCTGACGTTTTAGGAACTGTAGTGCTGGTCTCATCGGGCGCAGTCTCCTGTTTCTTAACCTCCTCTGTCGGCGTGGTTGCTGTCAATGGGGCTTCAGCTAACGGGACACTTTCCTTGACGTCCTTTACTTTATCAGCGGACGGTTTAGGCGCTGTAGTGCTGGTCTCATAAAATGGAATATCTGGTTTCGTGTTTTTCTCTGCCGCAGTGGTTGCTGTGTATGGTGCTTCATTTATCGACACAGTTTCCTTGACATCCTCTACTGACGTTTCACTTGTCGTAATCGTTCTCTCATAAAATGGAGTATCTGGTTTCGTGTTTTTCTCTGCCGCGGTGGTTGCTATGTACGTGGATCCATTGCTCGAAACACCTTGCTTTAGGTCGTCTTCTACCGTCTTAGGCGCCCTAGTGCTGGTCTCATCGGGCGGAGTCTCCTCTGTCGGCGTGCTTGCCGTCAATGGGGCTTCAGCTAATGGAACACTTTCCTTGACCTCCTTTACTTCATCAGCGGACGGTTTAGGCGCTGTAGTGCTGGTCTCATCGGGCGGAGTCTCCTGTTTCTTATTCTCCTCTGTCGTCAATGGGGCTTCAGCTAATGGGACACTTTCCTTCACGTCTTTTCCCTCATTGGCGGACGGTTTAGGCGCTGTAGTGCTAGTCTCATAAAACGGAATATCTGGTTTCGTGTTTTTCTCTGCCGCGGTGGTTGCCGTGTATGGTGGTTCACTGAACGGAAGAGCTTCCTTTAGGTCGTCTTTTGACGTGTTCATCGTTGTAATCGTTGTCTCATAAAAAGGAGTATCTGGTTTCTTGTTTTTCTCTGTCGCGGTGGTTGCTGTGTACGTGGATCCATAGCTCGGAACACCTTGCTTTAGGTCGTCTTCTACCGTCTTAGGCGCCCTATTGCTGGTATCATCCAGCCCGGTCTCCTGTTTCTTGGTCTCCTCTGTCGGTGTGGTTGCTGTCAATTGGGCTTCAGCTGACGGGACACTGTCCTTGACGTCCTTTACTTCATCAGCGGACGGTTTAGGCGCTGTAGTGCTGGTCTCATAAAATGGAATATCTGGTTTCGTGTTTTTCTCTGCCGCAGTGGTTGCTGTGTATGGTGCTTCATTTATCGACACAGTTTCCTTGACATCCTCTACTGACGTTTCACTTGTCGTAATCGTTCTCTCATAAAATGGAGTATCTGGTTTCGTGTTTTTCTCTGCCGCGGTGGTTGCCGTGTATGTTAATTCACTGATCGGAACACCTTGCTTTAGGTCGTCTTCTGACGTTTTAGGAGCTGTAGTGCTGGTGTCATCAGGCGGAGTCTGCTGTTTGTTATTCTCCTCCGTGGTTGCTTTCAGCGGCGTTGCGGTTAACGGGACGTCCGGCTTGGTGTCCTCCACTGACGTTAGAGTCGTTGTAATCGCTATCTCATCGCCTGACTCATCCAATGGAGTGTACTGTTCGTGGTGCTCTTCTGGCACCTTGGTTGCTGTCAGCGGCGTTGCGGTTAACGGCACGTCCCTATTGGTGTCCTCCTGTGACGTTAGAGTCGTTGTAATCGCTATCTCATCGCCTGACTCATCCAATGGAGTGTAGGCTGCCGGTTTTTCATTGTCATTAGGTTGAAGTTTTTGCAACAGTTGACTTAGGAATATGTCATACGATTCATTTATTTGATTTTCGTTTGTTTGTGAAGTTTTACCGTTAGTAAACACAGTTGGTATCTCGTCCTCTTCGGACGCTGACGAGTGACGTACTCGAAGAGCATCTTTTCCCGTGCGCTGCTCGGGCACCTGGTTTTTTTCCAGTGAGGTTTCGTTGAATAGCACAGTGGTTGTCTCGTCCTCTTCTGATGCTGACGAGTGACGTGCTCGAAGAGCATCTTTTCCCGTGCGCTGCTCGGGCACCTGGTTTTTTTCCAGTGAGGTTTTATTGAATAGCAAAGTAGGTGTCTCGTCCTCTTCTGACGCTGATGAGTGACGTGCTCGAAGAGCAGCTGGTGTCTTGTCCTCTTCTGATGTTATACTGGTTGTAATCGTTGTCTCATCTAATGGAGTAGCTGTTATCGTGTCTTCATCTGACGTTTTAGTTGTTGTGATCGCTATCTTATCCACTTTAGCAGCTGGTTTCTCGTCTTCTGACAAAGTGGTTGACGTCAATGACGTTTGAGTTAGCGGGAAAGCTGCTTTGTTGTCCTCTTCTGCGGGTTCACTGTCTATAAGCGTTGTCTCGTCCAATGGTGCAGATGCTTTCTTGTCCTCTTCCGATAGCGCGGTTGCTGTCAGTGGAGTTCTGTTGGAGAGCACAGTTGGTATCTCGTCCTCTTCTGACGCTGATGAGTGACGTGCTCGAAGAGCAGCTGGTGTCTTGTCCTCTTCTGATGTTATACTGGTTGTAATCGTTGTCTCATCTAATGGAGTAGCTGTTATCGTGTCTTCATCTGACGTTTTAGTTGTTGTGATCGCTATCTTATCCACTTTAGCAGCTGGTTTCTCGTCTTCTGACAAAGTGGTTGACGTCAATGACGTTTGAGTTAGCGGGAAAGCTGCTTTGTTGTCCTCTTCTGCGGGTTCACTGTCTATAAGCGTTGTCTCGTCCAATGGTGCAGATGCTTTCTTGTCCTCTTCCGATAGCGCGGTTGCTGTCAGTGGAGTTCTGTTGGAGAGCACAGTTGGTATCTCGTCCTCTTCTGACGCTGATGAGTGACGTGCTCGAAGAGCAGCTGGTGTCTTGTCCTCTTCTGATGTTACAGTGGTTGTAATCATTTTAGTGGTTGTACTTGTCGTCTCTGCCAATAGAGCAGCTCGTTTCGTGTGCTCCTCTGGCGCGGTGGTTGCTGTTAATGGCGTTTCGGCTAACGGTACAATTGATGTGTTGTATTTTTCTGATGTTACAGTTGTTGTAATCGCTATCTCATCCAATTTAGCAGCTGGTTTCTCGTCTTCTGACAAAGTGATTGGCGTCAATGACGTTTGAGTTAGCGGGAAAGCTGCTTTGTTGTCCTCTTCTGCCGTTTCATTGGCTATCGGCGTTGTCTCGTCGAATGGAGCAGATGGCTTCCTGTCCTCTTCTGACGGGGTGGTTGCTCTCAGTGGGCTTTCGTTGAAGAGCACAGCTGATGTCTGGTCCTCGTCGGATGTTTTAGTGACTATCGGCGTGGTCACATTAAATGTAGCATGTGGTGTCGTGTCCTGTTCTAGGAGTCTATTTGCTGTAAACTGTGTTTTGCCGATTGGAACAGCGGGCTTGTTGTCATGCTCGAGTGGTTCAGTAGTTGTCAAGGGATTGTTTAATGTGGAATTTGCTTGTGGAATTTGGGTGTCATCTGGTTTTTTGTCTGACGTTAGTGGATTATCGTTTGGCGATAGTTTATCTTGCAGCAGAGTTACGGTTGGAGACGACGTGTTCAGTGATGCGATGTATGAAGAGTTAAGGTTTTGATCGTTTTGTTGCACGCTATCGTTCTCTTTCAAGGTGAATGAATATGGTTGTACATGAGGATCTAGTAGTGTTCCAAGTGTTTTGTGTTGTGTAGTATCGTGCAGTGCTGTTTTTGTTGGTGTTATAGTTAGTAGTGCTTCTAGTGTTTTGTATCGTGTTTGTCCTTCATGTAGTGCTGCTTTTACTGGTGTTATAGATTGAAATACATCACTCATGATATGAGAATTTGCAGGTTCTCCGTGTAAAGGTGATGAAAGTGAATCTTGCCATGAGTCTTCCTCCTCTTCTTCCGATTGTGTTGATGATACTAACGACAGCGTTTCGGTGGGTTTTGTAGGCGATGAGTAGTTTAAAGAGTCGTGCCATCGGTCCTCGTCGTCCTCTTCCATTTGTACGGGTGAATACGGCGTATCAGTAGGTTTTACAGATGGTTGAGTTGGATATGGTTGCGGAGTTTTGGAGTGTGACTCTGGTTTTTCTATGTTTGAATACAGCAATGGTGGTTTTTGTGTGTTTGAATTATTTGGGTTATCCATGGTTTATTGTATGTACTCAATATTTTTATGGTTTCATTTATGCTGGTTGAACTCAAAATTGTTATAATTGTCGATTAATGGCGGTTGGAAGAACGTTCTTCTTCTTTAAATTAGTTTTTGGTAACTGTAAATAGAAATAAGTCGTTCGTTAAAGATGAATGTGTGGAATAGAAGATAACTTTCACTTTTAACTTAACTGTGACTTTAGTGAGCTATGAGTAGAAATAACTTATTTAGGGCTTCTATCTACAAGAAGAAAAAAACGGAAGTCCGTTGTCAACGAACAACGCACCGTAAGCAGCATTTCTCTTTTAACGTTCGTCCTTAAATGATGGATCCAACTTTGACAAACTTCTAGAAACACATCGAATGTTCAAATATACTCTTTGTTGCTTGGCAGCATGGTGTAATTCAAAATGCAAAAAGATTGTGGTCCTTTATCTTACGTAAGATCCAAGGCGTTTTCTTTGAATCTACCGTATGTATATGTTTCTTGGCGTGTAAAGCAGCTAATGCAGAGTTTATTTTGAAATTTTCAAGTGTTTTGAATGGGCTTCCAGTGAATTATGAATTTTTCCATCTTGAATGAGCAGATCGTATAATATGTTATATAATTTTAAAGTATGCTTTTGCTACCACTTTAGAACTTTTTATGAAACAAAGATTGTAATGAGATTTACCATAGTCGATTACATATGTTACAGTCATGTCTGAGACTCTCACAGGTTTCGTTTTCGAAAGAAATGCGTTTTTCTTATAGATTTCTGCAGTTTTATTGGACAAAAAGCGAATTTTGAAAACCTTTCCGCGTTATTTTCTGCGTCTTAATTTGGTCTTTAAAAAATAGAAAAGGTTATTAAGATACTTGAGACCGTGCCCGAGAATATGCTACCCAAGGTTCGCGGCTGATTTGTATCTACCACCATTCACGAGATGTCGCCAGAATACTGGTCATAATGAAGGCTCAACGACCAGAAGTTGTAAAACTTAGGCCGATTTTAATTTATTGTATTCAGTATGCGAATAACATACCTAAAACATCTGATTTTTTTTATTTTTAGCTTCATCGAGATGTAGGAGCGTTTATTTGAAAACTCTGGGAAAACATCTCTGAGTTTTTCAGAAAAACTTCGTCAAAGAAATGGAATCCTACATGTAAAATCGAAATCTGGTACGTCACTACTATATATGGGCTTGTCCACGTAAAAGTCAACTTTTAAGTAAGTACGTAACGGAAGCTGTACACAGTGGACAATCAGGCGGACATTAGGCGAAAAAACAAAAGTGAGTTTTTTCGAGATTCAACCACTGTCATAGATACACTATTCAATAGCCGATTTAATGGTAAAAAAATTTTGATCCAAATGCTTAAGATGGAGGAGAAAAGTTAGTCTCAATTTTGGACCCGTTTTTTACGATGTTGTCCGGAAAACACCTTTTTTGTTTTAGAAATCAAAAGTATTGCACATTGAGACACATATAGTCTAAACGCTAAAGTTTTGGGCTATCCATTCATAAAACTTTTTTTCATTTATGACTTTTCTCACTGATAAAAATTGGGTTTTTGCTGTGCTGGATGTTTTTCCAAAACTTGGCTCCAGTAAAGTAAGCGCGCTAGCTATTGCTAAAGCAGAAAGTTGCCGTTCGCTTTATTTGCAGAGTTATGAGTTTTCCAAAAATCCTGGTTTTTTAGAGATTTTTCATACTATTTTCTATCGTCTAAGGGACTGGGCTAAAAATAAGGACATATTTGGAATCAGCATAAAAAACTGCATTTAGTGGTGTGTCATTTAACGAATTCCAAAGGATCTGAATTTTTGAAAAATATTTATTTACGTAAAAGTTTGACGTCTGTGCTTTTTTCGTCCGCAAAGACATTAAACTAGGATAATGTTGTGACGTGAAGAATAGATTATGATACTTTTAGTTCGTTTAGTTTCCCATTTTTTTCTCCCGATCGCATCCCTCAAACAACTTTTCCATTGAGAACGAGTTGTAAGGCTCGCACTGCTCGCATTGGCTTCAATAGATTTCTGCATGAGCTTGATGGAAAGGTTGTTTGAAGATGGAAAATCACTAAATCGATTAGAGGAGTGAACCGTTCAAGCAATGATTTTCAGTCAAGTGATTGCGAAAAATCGTGTCAATGGAAAAATCGACCCATGGCTGAAAACCTTTACTTGAACTACAATCTAATACGTTGTAGTGGTTGGAGTCTCCTCAGTGACTTGACCATCAATAACTATATTCAACGGTCAAGGGGTGGTGGTGGGCACTGATGAGGGAGGAGGGGCCGACTTTCCTTTCAAAACAGTGAAAATTAATCCTACAACTAGTTTTTTTCTGCCCTTTTCCTATAAAAAACATTTTTTTGCAAACTGATTTTTCAAAAAAAACCTCAGCGATACTACCTGACATTTTTTATTAATCAGTCTGGAAAGAGCACACTGAAGAACCTATAAATTTGTAGAAATTTATCAACTTTGGCGCTTTTTAGACGTAAAAATCCCAAAAGGCTTTCTAGAAAACCCTTTTTCAAAACTTCTGTACCCTCAAAAGCTATTCCATAGGAAAGAGCGCAAACCTATAAAATTTTAAAAATTGGTCAACTTCGGCATTTTTTAGTCATAAAATCCCAAAAAGTTTTCCAAAAAAACCTTTTTGAAAAACTCTGCACGGTCAAAAATTATTCCATAAGAAAGAGCGCATGCGAAAACCTATTTTTGCTGAGTTTTGACGTGATTGAATGTATTTAATCCCCAATGTCCGCCTGCCCAGGCAAAATTGCCCACTGTGCTGTATAGCATTTACTCTGATCAACGTTAGGAAAGTCTTCGACGTCTCGTTTTGATCAGAAACGTTTATTCTAGAAACTACACCGTTAGAATAGTATAAATCGTTTAAAGTTAGGTATGGGATTTTTGAAAAGCCATTTTATACCGACTTGTGAAAAACGTTTTCAACTCATGAGTTTCACTTCAAAACTCATCACAAACATTTGTTATCGTCAAAAGCAGTACGAATTCTTAGAGCAGACGGTATGGGCTATCCAAGGGCATATCTCAGAAACCCTTTATCAGAAGTTTATGTAAGCAAATCTTACTTCAATAGTATCAGTCATCTCTCTGCACTTACAAATCATTTAAAGGGAATATGCACTACATATAAACTATTTTTGTTGATATACAATCGAACTATTTATATGTGTCTTTGTCTAATTTTTTTTGTTAAAAAGGTATAAAAACAGTTATTGTTACTGACCTTTTTAATAACTAAAAAAGGAAATTATTTATCTAAAAATTTATTCTCCTTTTTATTTTTTTTTCAAAATTCAACAATATACGACGTATCTACTTCTCATAATATTTCTCTATTTTTTATGAAGCATAAGTTATTTATTATCCGTATTTACATTAATTATTATGTTTACGTATTTTTCGTAAAGTGCTCTGTTGGATTTTTTCAAGCGTGTTATTAAAGAGGAAAAATATTAGATAGATACCTATGGACAATACCATTTGTTTCTCGAAAGTAAAAGAAATCATAGTATAATATGTAATATTCCTGAAATGTGCGTGTGTCTGTGTCTATTCATATGAGTATATGGCGTCATTCTGCTTCAATTTAACTGAACAATAATTTATATTTATCGACTATTTGACATTATGATAATTTTCTATATTCATCACACATAATTTTTCATTTTAGTTCTTTCACTCATTGGCATTCTTCACATGCTTAATTCAATCCTCCTAATTTTTTTTACATACCTATCACCTATCAAGTGTCTATTCTTGATTTGTTATGCATCATTAAACTTTGATCTTTTCACATAAACGTAAATTCTAATTTGATGACTGTATTTTTAAATCAGATGTTCGATCAGCAACGGTTACCTTGTATATATGATAACAGAAGTTTTTACGTATGTTAGACTTCAAAAACGTTAAAAAAATTGTTAAAAGCAAACTGAAGTACATTTCAATAAAATCACAGCACTCAAAATCTGAATAAGCCTTTTAATTAGTCCAACTATGATCTAATATTTGTAACAGAAGACGCAAAATAAATTAATATGAAATGTTACCAGTTTTTTCCTTCAAAATATCAATTACTTGTTTTCATATCAGAATAAAAGAAAATCTATACAGAAAATTGAAATAGCTAATTGTAATAAATAAATATCAATGTAAATCATATCATCTTTTTTCTTTTTATAAATAAAAAACAGCCAATAATAGCTGTAAAAGCTGTTACAGTAACAACGGCTGTTGAATGTATTTGAATAAAATGGTTATGAAAAAAACGATGCATCATCATATCCCTTGTTTTGTGGTTTTTAGTTAATTGTGCTATTTGTGCAACATTAGTCTCTATCCTTTTTATATCTCGATTAATTTCCTCTAATTCTAAATTAGCTTCACATTGTTTTTCACTTTGACAAGGTAAATCTATTTTTTGTAAAGCTAATTTTAATTTTTGACAATCGGTAATATTTTCAATCAAAGAATCTAAATCAACTGTAAATAAATCATCTAATGTTGAGTATTTATTAATAAACAATGATTTTAAATAGTCTAATTCAATAATATCCAAAAATAATTCTAATTCGGAAGGAGATGAACATATTGAAGTTTCATTAGGCACCTAAAAAAAAACAGAATATATTAACAAGTACCAACATAAAATAGAATAAACAAAAACTAGTATCGAACAAACTCAAAAAATATATAACATTTAAAGAAAATAAACGCTTAAGTTGTCTAGTGTTAGGTTAAAATGGGTCACAAAATATACTATCCTCTATCCAGGAAAAAAATTTGATTAGAACTTTACTAATTATATGTCAATTGTCAGCATCATGAAATGCTTAAGTGTTCGGTTAAAAAAAATCTCTTTTTAAAGAAATGATGACAGTTTGTACTATTATTTAAACAAAAGTCTTTTTTACATACTGCTTGATCCAATGTTTCTTCTTCTTGTGTTAAATATGTATAAATGTTTGTAAATTGTAAATGTTTAGCAATGTCTTGAGCAGTGAGACCCTGATTCGTTTTAATCTTTGTCTCAGCACCATTTCGTACTAGCTGTTTAACAATATCTAAATGTCCATGTTGAGTAGCCATCAATAGTGGACACCATCCTTTTTCATCTCGACGATTTAAATCGGCACCGTGATCAATCAATAATTGAATCAAATGAGAGTGACCAAATCTCGAAGCATACATCAAAGGAGTAGTAGTAAAACTAGCCGTATTCGGCTCAACTTGAGCACCATGATTTAACAAATATTTACAACATAAATATTGATGTTGAGCAATGGAGGTTATAGTTGATTTACAGCGAGAATGAGTGGACATACAACAGGCCATTAACGGACTAAAACAGAGAGATAAAGCATTACTAAATGAGTACATTTCTTTTTTGCAACAAAAAATTATGCATCATGATATATATATATATATATATAGGTAAATAAAATTAGAAAGACAAAATAATATAACAGACCTTAATAAATACTGTTTGTTATGAGATATGAATTCATAGATATCCTCTTATCCTACAGGAAAAAGATTCTCTTTCAAGTTAAAGTTCTTTGAAATGACGACGAATACTCAATCAATGACCTACTCTTCTCATTATAATGTATTTATAACTGTACATTTTACTTGTGCTCAATTTACTGTACCTGAATTCTTGATTTATGCCACCATTTATATTCGCTCCATTTTGTTCGATCAAATATTTAACAGTTTTTAATTGACATGTGTACGATGCATAAATTAGAGAATTCCATCCACATGTAAAACGTTGTTCAACATTAATTTTGTTTTCTTTGTACAATTGAGATAGTGTAGCTATATCACCTTTATCAATTGCTAATTTGATACAATGTTCGATGTCGGTTGTAGAAGAATTGTTTTTCGTTGACTGTGGAAGTGATGATTCGGATAATTTAGTGACTAATAAACGAGAATTGAGACGACGGATGTCACGTGTCTCTTCACTATCACTGCTACTATTACTGCTTGTATCACTATGGATATCACCATTAATAACATCAAGGACACTTCTTTTGGACGATAACAGATGAGAGCTACCGTTCTGAATTAATGTCATTGCGAATAATAAAAGAGCCCTGATCTAGAACCAGAAAAGTAGGACACGACTGTTAGCAAGGATTATTACTTTGTTTTGTAACTAATAAAAATATGCTGATTAATATTTCAGAGCAAAATAATGAACTTAAGACTAGGCTAAGATTGTTTATTCACGAAAAGTGAGAGTCATCAAAGGTCACCGACCTGTAGTAACAATGACTCAAGCCAAACAACACCAAAATAGTAATAAAAGAAATAACAAAATAAAGAAGACAACTAAGAT